GGCCTACTCTCCTTACAACACGACGATACACCAGGCCATGTAGCTGGACTATACGTAACCTGGCCTACTCTCCTTACAACACGACGATACACCAGGCCATGTAGCTGGACTATACGTAACCTGGCCTACTCTCCTTACAACACGACGATACACCAGGCCATGTAGCTGGACTATACGTAACCTGGCTTACTCTCCGTACAACACGACGATACACCAGGCCATGTAGCTGGACTATACGTAACCTGGCTTACTCTCCTTACAACACGACGATACACCAGGCCATGTAGCTGGACTATACGTAACCTGGCTTACTCTCCTTACAACACGACGATACACCAGGCCATGTAGCTGGACTATACGTAACCTGGCTTACTCTCCTTACAACACGACGATACCACCAGGCCATGTAGCTGGACTATACGTAACCTGGCTACTCTCCTTACAACACGACGATACACCAGGCCATGTAGCTGGACTATACGTAACCTGGCCTACTCTCCTTACAACACGACGATACACCAGGCCATGTAGCTGGACTATACGTAACCTGGCCTACTCTCCTTACAACACGACGATACACCAGGCCATGTAGCTGGTCTATACGTAACCTGGCTTACTCTCCTTACAACACGACGATACACCATGCCATGTAGCTGGACTATACGTAACCTGGCTTACTCTCCTTACAACACGACGATACACCAGGCCATGTAGCTGGACTATACGTAACCTGGCTTACTCTCCTTACAACACGACGATACACCAGGCCATGTAGCTGGACTATACGTAACCTGGCTTACTCTCCTTACAACACGACGATACACCAGGCCATGTAGCTGGACTATACGTAACCTGGCTTACTCTCCGTACAACACGACGATACACCAGGCCATGTAGCTGGACTATACGTAACCTGGCTTACTCTCCTTACAACACGACGATACACCAGGCCATGTAGCTGGACTATACGTAACCTGGCCTACTCTCCTTACAACACGACGATACACCAGGCCATGTAGCTGGACTATACGTAACCTGGCCTACTCTCCTTACAACACGACGATACACCAGGCCATGTAGCTGGTCTATACGTTACCTGGCCTACTCTCCTTACAACACGACGATACACCAGGCCATGTAGCTGGACTATACGTAACCTGGCTTACTCTCCTTACAACACGACGATACACCAGGCCATGTAGCTGGACTATACGTAACCTGGCCTACTCTCCTTACAACACGACGATACACCAGGCCATGTAGCTGGACTATACGTAACCTGGCCTACTCTCCTTACAACACGACGATACACCAGGCCATGTAGCTGGACTATACGTAACCTGGCCTACTCTCCTTACAACACGACGATACACCAGGCCATGTAGCTGGACTATACGTAACCTGGCCTACTCTCCTTACAACACGACGATACACCAGGCCATGTAGCTGGACTATACGTAACCTGGCCTACTCTCCTTACAACACGACGATACACCAGGCCATGTAGCTGGACTATACGTAACCTGGCTTACTCTCCTTACAACACGACGATACACCAGGCCATGTAGCTGGACTATACGTAACCTGGCCTACTCTCCTTACAACACGACGATACACCAGGCCATGTAGCTGGACTATACGTAACCTGGCTTACTCTCCTTACAACACGACGATACACCAGGCCATGTAGCTGGACTATACGTAACCTGGCCTACTCTCCTTACAACACGACGATACACCAGGCCATGTAGCTGGACTATACGTAACCTGGCCTACTCTCCTTACAACACGACGATACACCAGGCCATGTAGCTGGACTATACGTAACCTGGCTTACTCTCCTTACAACACGACGATACACCAGGCCATGTAGCTGGACTATACGTAACCTGGCCTACTCTCCTTACAACACGACGATACACCAGGCCATGTAGCTGGACTATACGTAACCTGGCTTACTCTCCTTACAACACGACGATACACCAGGCCATGTAGCTGGAAAATACGTAACCTGGCCTACTCTCCTTACAACACGACGATACACCAGGCCATGTAGCTGGACTATACGTAACCTGGCCTACTCTCCTTACAACACGACGATACACCAGGCCATGTAGCTGGACTATACGTAACCTGGCCTACTCTCCTTACAACACGACGATACACCAGGCCATGTAGCTGGACTATACGTAACCTGGCCTACTCTCCTTACAACACGACGATACACCAGGCCATGTAGCTGGACTATACGTAACCTGGCTTACTCTCCTTACAACACGACGATACACCAGGCCATGTAGCTGGTCTATACGTAACCTGGCCTACTCTCCTTACAACACGACGATACACCAGGCCATGTAGCTGGACTATACGTAACCTGGCTTACTCTCCTTACAACACGACGATACACCAGGCCATGTAGCTGGACTATACGTAACCTGGCCTACTCTCCTTACAACACGACGATACACCAGGCCATGTAGCTGGACTATACGTAACCTGGCTTACTCTCCTTACAACCAACACGACGATACACCAGGCCATGTAGCTGGACTATACGTAACCTGGCCTACTCTCCTTACAACACGACGATACACCAGGCCATGTAGCTGGACTATACGTAACCTGGCCTACTCTCCTTACAACACGACGATACACCAGGCCATGTAGCTGGACTATATGTAACCTGGCCTACTCTCCTTACAACACGACGATACACCAGGCCATGTAGCTGGACTATACGTAACCTGGCCTACTCTCCGTACAACACGACGATACACCAGGCCATGTAGCTGGACTATACGTAACCTGGCTTACTCTCCTTACAACACGACGATACACCAGGCCATGTAGCTGGACTATACGTAACCTGGCTTACTCTCCGTACCACACGACGATACTCCATGCCATGTAGCTGGACTATACGTAACCTGGCCTACTCTCCTTACAACACGACGATACACCAGGCCATGTAGCTGGACTATACGTAACCTGGCTTACTCTCCTTACAACACGACGATACACCAGGCCATGTAGCTGGACTATACGTAACCTGGCTTACTCTCCGTACAACACGACGATACACCAGGCCATGTAGCTGGACTATACGTAACCTGGCTTACTCTCCTTACAACACGACGATACACATGGGCCATGCAGCTGGACTATACGTAACCTGGCCTACTCTCCTTACAACACGACCATACACCAGGCCATGTAGCTGGACTATACGTAACCTGGCTTACTCTCCTTACAACACGACGATACACCAGGCCATGTAGCTGGACTATACGTAACCTGGCTTACTCTCCTTACAACACGACGATACACCAGGCCATGTAGCTGGACTATACGTAACCTGGCTTACTCTCCTTACAACACGACGATACACCAGGCCATGTAGCTGGACTATACGTAACCTGGCCTACTCTCCTTACAACACGACGATACACCAGGCCATGAAGCTGGTCTATACGTAACCTGGCTTACTCTCCTTACAACACGACGATACACCAGGCCATGTAGCTG